AAAAAAAAATGTTTAGCATGAGAATGAAGGAGTTGAAGTTACTTGGTCAAGGTCACCTATCTTCTCATTTACCAATACAGATGTGTCACTAAGGGTGGAGGTGCTGGTGTTATTGCTATTTTGGTGACAGTGAGGATAGGAAACCAGAAATGACCAGCTTGCTCTGAGTTCTCAATTGTGCTTGCCCACTGAAGGAGCAAGAGGAGAGCTGGCATCCAGGGTCTCTTTTTTTAATAGCTCCCTGAGTGTTTAATCTCCCCATAGGAGAGAGAGCTGTGATCTCAGAGACATGGTGCTTAGGCTGTGGTTCTAGGAAAAAGCAGACATTCTGACCTATTGCTGCTAGGAATAGAATGTTGAGTCAAGTTGGCCAATCCTACCTATATTTGTAGTTCCCATTTATTGTGTCACCTTCAGTCTTCTCAACCTAAGTTACCAGATTCAGGTATTTTCTGTTGTTGGTGTGTGACCTTAGGAGGGTAAACACAGCGGGCACTACTGTACTACTCCTAGATAGCCACACCTGCTCTCAGTGTACTGTCCTTTTGTTACTTGACTAGGAAGGATACCTTGAGAAAATATGCAGCACTGAATTATTAGGAGTCTTCACTCTCTTTTCAAGTGAATGGTATATACCATAGGCTATTTTGTAAAGTAAGCTGACAGAAATCAGGGGTGTGTTTTGTTTACCCACTGCTCCCTTTAAGTATCTCTTGGTGCTACATCTGGAGAAAAGCAAAAACTTAATATTAACTAAATGATTTTGGTTAATGTAGAATAACTGTACTGAGATCCTTCTTCACTTCTCTCCAAAGCAGAGTAATGATTCACTTCCAGCTCTGTATTTCACCTTTGGTGTAACTTTAAATAAACCATTTTACCTGGTAATTGAGAGAAGAATGCATTTTGCCTTGGTGAAGGTAAGGGTGGACATGTGTCTGTGGTCACTTTTCTTTCTAGAGTGACCTTTCTAAAACCAAATGTTTTTGTCTTAGATTTCATATATCACTGTGCTTCCCTGATTGCATGAGCATATGATACTTTTTGGGTTTACTGCTTGATTTATTCAGTGTCCCTGACTTCACAGGGCCTGGGGATTTCTGAGGTAAGTAGAGGACAAGGCAAGCACTAACGTGATGGCCGGCAGCTAAGCATTCCTAGGAGGAAAGTATAGCTGCTAACTCCATTCAGATATTTCTCTTCCTTTCTCCTGCTTACTTTCCTTTTCCTACACTATTTTGATTTTAATTGAGGTAATATTGGTTTACATCAACATTTCTGTTTTAAAAGTATAGGATCCCCCCCTTACTGTATCATACCCACCATTACAGCACCCATATCCTTCTGCAAAGTTCATTGTACTCTCTCCCATTTTTATTCTAGCCCCTCACTCTCCACTGAATGTTTTTCCTGAGAATCACCACCTAAGCATCTAAGTGAGATACTTTCTCAAGTAAAATGGAGACTTCCCTGCCACAGCGCGCGCACACACACACACCCTCTCTTCTTTTTATTTTGCTATCTTCCTTAGCATGGAAATTCAACTTTGGCTTCCCACTTAGCTGAACTTACTCTTACTGCAGTATAGAAGAGATTCCTTTTTTTTTTTTAACTTACCCATAAAAATTAAAGTCAGAATTCGTAGTAGTTCCTACTCCGATTTAAGATGGCTATTTTTTCCTTCCAACTATCTTAACTATCTCAGAATCCACTTCCATCCTTTTGCCTTTTGTGTAGCTGTTTTCTAAGTGCCTACCCCTCACACTAAAGAATGCAGTAAGAAGGCTATGGTGGTTGAACTTGGAGAACTGAACACTTTAGATGAACATAAAGCAAATAATTTTTGACGAAATTACTACTATGGATTTTACAAATTGCCTATATTTGCTTGGAATATACAGTCTAGATTTCTGGGGCTTTCAAATAACCTCTTCAAAATAATATTTTCCATTTCTGTTCCTTTTCACCCTTCCATGAGTGTCTTCAACCTGTGCCTCACTATATCTAATTACCATTACAGAAATTGAGTAAAGAAGTAGAGAGTGGAAATGACCTTAGCAACAGGCAGTAGGACTTTTTATTCTGACACTAATTTTCAGTAAGCATTTTGTTTGCTCATGTGGCTTTTGTGGGCCTGTTTTTGCCTATTTATGATTTCTAAGCTTTAGTTCAATTCTGATAGTGTTTAGTTTTCTGACAGGATAACCTGTTGAATTATACAAAGGTGCTCAGAAATCCTCATGTAAAGTGGGTTTGAAGACAGAGGTTCAGATAGAACATTTGAATCTGAAAATCAGACTGTGAGCTAGTTTTAGGTGGTGAAGTCTCCATCAACCTGTGTCTCCTTTTTGGGTCATTCAAGGTCTTTCTTAGAGCGCTTTCCTCATACATTAAGATTTTTAAAGACTAAAAAGAACTTGGTAGTGATTCTTTTTACTTAATAGTTGTTAAGTGTTTATTTTTTAACCCATTCTTTCATCAAGTAAATGTTAAGTGAGTTTCTTTCTTAATCTTGGTTGTACATCATCCATCTGGTTTTAAATGAATACTGATGGCTGACAGCTCTTCTTCCCGTACCCAAGATCCTGATTGAATTGTTGTGAGATGAAGTTTGGACATCAGCATTTTTATTTACATTTTCTTGGTATTTCCAGCATATGACTAATATTTAGAAGCAATGGGTAGAGCTAATAAAGAGACCTGTGAGACTTATAACCTTAATGAGGATACAGACAACATTTGTTTTCAGATGAGCACACACAGAAGTTTGAGAGAAGTAGTCCTATGTTTACTTACGGTGTAATTCCTGGAAAGTTTCTAATCCTAATCTAAAGTGTGAATCGTATGGTTCTTTTCTTACTGCCGTGGTTCTCAAAATGTTATCCAGTGCCAATAGCATCAGCAACACCTGTGTTTTATTAGAAATGCAGTTTATCAGGCTCTACCCCAGGCCTGCTGAATCAGAATTTCTGGGGGTGAACTTGGTAATATATGTTTTATAAGACTTTCTGAAGAACCCTAAAGTCTGAGAGCCATCAGGATATAGAGTTTTTGTAGGGTTTAGAGGTAGTGTATGATGATTGTAGGCCAATGACTGGAACATTCTAAGAATTAATGGGCAGAGACTTTAATGGTACTATGTTTGGTTGCTTGGCAATGTGAGTATGGTTGGGAGCTCTACTTGACATCTGTTAACTTTCTCTCCCACTGCTAAGACTGTGATGCATATATTGTGTTTTGTGTGTGTTTGTGTGTGTGTGTATGGTGACTGGAAATCCCATGAATCATCTCAAAGGTGTATTAGGACAAACCAATGAAGTTAGCAATCGGTCTTTTTTCTGAAGACCCAAGTTGTGATGTTTTTGTACTATCCAAAAACTAACTTAGTGATAGATATAGCTGCCCTACACTTAATGTGGAACATCTAAAGTGCAAAGAAATGTTGCTTATTAATAGAGAACATGGTCCATGCACATCTAAAACCATTATTTCCAGGACAAAAACTTGTGTGTGTGTGTGTGTTAAAAAGTTTCTGTTTTGCAAGTAGAATTTTTTTCCTTACAGAGACAAATTAAAAAGGTCCAGAATGTGTACCCATAGAGCCCCTGAATGTATGACCAACCTGACATTGTGGGGGTGGATGCCTTCTTTAAAACAATGCTAACTTCAGTGTGCTTTTCTTTCTTTTTTTAAAAACATATTTAAAAAGTATATTTTTATTTATTTATGCATACAATAACTGGGGTGTAGGCCAGTGGTACAGGGGGTGAGAGGATTCACCAGAGACAAGAGTAGGGGACAGAACAGGTAGATGCACTGAAATACACTGCTAAGGGGAACCGTGGGTGAGACAGAAGAGGTCTGCTGTGCCATTTAGTAGGTCACTTCTGTGGCCGGGGATTGAACTTTATGCAGCTTTGTCTGGGGATAGCTTGAGCCATCAGGGAGGCCCTGATGTTATTTTTTGTTGATCAACAATATTAGGTTCTGGTATCCTAAACCCTCATTACTACTTGCCTGGATTATGTTTAGATTTCCTGTTTTTCTGTCTCGATGAACTTTCTCTCTCATCACAATGTTCAGGGGCCACTGGAATGATCCAGTAAAGTTTTCTTTATTTCTCTGCCTGGGCACAGCTTTCTTTTATGCTAACTTCCAGAAGACTTTGTATATGTTGAATTGTATTTTGTAATATCCTTAATTATGAATTTTTTTTCCCTTGATTGAAAATTTATTGAGGGCAAACATCAAGCCTTATGCATGTAGTATTCCACTACCCCAGCAGACCTCCTTATTCTTGCTAAATGTACCAGACACCCTAGACTAGCTTTTTTTTTTTTTTTAATCACTTGTAAGTGTCAAATCAGGTCTTCATTTATCTGAAGGTTAAAGCTACTAATTAAGTTAAAAAGAAGTAAGATAGGGAATAATTGTTCTACAGCACACACACACACATTTATGTGCCAAAGCAGTAAAGTTACAAGGCAATAAAATGCTAGCAAATACAGTTTTTAAGAGTGTTGTAATATTGTATCCATATTAATCATATTTGTGTTTTCTTTCTGTAGGTGATTTTCTGCCACCCCCACCTCCACCTCTAGATGAACCCTGTGTTATTCCACCAGGCTCTGGAAACTTCCCTCCTCCACCACCCCTTGATGAAGGTGTTTTCAGGACACCTTCAGGACAGGTATGCACTTTGGTTGAAGTCACCTTTAGAAACCATTCTATATAAGTGATGTTTGTAAGGAAGCTCGTGAATTCAGTGAAGGATATACATTATATAGAGCCTAAGAAGAGTATTATAACTTCCAAAAGAACTAAGTTACTTTAATCCAGAATGCCCAACTCAAACTTTTCAGAGTTCTGCTAGCTTACATTCTGAAGCCCTGAAAATCCTTTTACCTATAAATGTTGTTTCAAAACTAAAAGCCATTTTTTTTCAGGTATGCCATTTGAGAAGTCCACATTTTCTTGTTCTCCTGGGGACGCAGAACTATGCTATTTTTCCTTGAATGGCATATGTCACATTCTAAATGAGTACGGTTTTTGTTGGTAACTACTGGTCCAAATTTTTTTAGCAGCATCTTTCTAGCAAATGCAGCTAGAAATCTTTAAGGTTTTATTTTTTGAGTGATGTTAAAATTGTATATTATAGTCTGTATCAATTATATAGAAGTGTTATATCTGGAGGTTTTGTTTAAGATTTATTTAGTTTTTCATACCAGAGCCTGGGGTGTAGGCCAGAGGTGTGAAGGGTAAGACAATTCATCAGAGACAGAATGGGGAGCAGAACAGGCAGGCTGACAGAAATACACTGATAAGAGGAGCAGTGGTGAGACAGAAGAGGTCTGCTGCACCATCTGGGTTAGCTTCCTCGCTGGGGTTTGAACTAGTGCTACAAATAGCTTCATATAGCTGAGACTTAAACCTCATATACTAAGGAGGCCCTGAGTATTTGACTGCAGAGAAGCTCAGGGTTGAAGTTCAGAAGTAGCATTAGAAGTCATACTCAGCCTTTAATTTGTTGAATTAGTCTCCTACATTTATGCAATAACTCCTATTCATGTCAAAAATGGAAACTAACAAAGTCATAGTTACTCCCACTGTATATGTTGAAGGAAAATAAAACATTCCTTATCTTTTAGAGAAATACGTATGAATGAAATGGAATGATTTCTGATATTAGCTTCAAAATAAGAAGTGTAAGGAGTTAGTGGAAATATGGGTGGAACAAGATTTGTTCTGAGTGATTACTAAGTGCACATTTATTCTACTCTTTGGTCTATTTTTATATATAGACCTTTTTTCATACTAAGTTCTAAGGAGAAATAGCCATAGGAAGTTGCAGTTTAAATGATTCAGATCTTATCAACTTTTTCTCCCTCCTTTTCTCCAGTTAAGTGACAAATAGGAAGCAATGATTTGGCACATTCAACAAATATTCTGTGCTTTTGTGTGAGGACCCTGAAAGCCCTCAGAATTCTATAGGGAAGACAGGTAGGGTCATAAAACTTCTATGTTAGTGAAACTAGTAGAAATAAGCAAAATCTGCACATTACAAAGTACATGGGAATGAGAGTCAGTGCTGTGAGTAATGGTGAGATGAAAGGAATGTGGCCAACCTTGGGTGGGCATGGCCCAGATCTCACTGAGAAAGTGACTGGAGCAAAGACTTAGAGGAGGAGAGAAGGGAAAGTGCCATATGGATTTCTTGAGGAGTGTTTTTATATAGTTGATCTCAAGGAATAGTGGAAGCTTCTTTTCCCAAATGATCAGTTAAAATTAGTTAAGTTACAGTTATAATCAGTAAGCTCCAATTGACACTAGGCCTTTTAAAAGCTCTTAAAAGTTATATGTCATATATATATATATATTTGTCACACACACACACACACACACACATACACACACACACACACACATATGTCACACATTTCCAATGCCTTGCTATAAGGTTTTAAAATCAAAGATTCAATGTCAGTCCTACACACCTTATATTTATTTTAGGCAACCAAGAAAGCCCTTGGTAAATAAATGTAATATGACATAATTATTTTTAGAATTTTCTGTTAACAAAAAAAGATACTTAATTTTGCCTTTTATATATATTTAAGAATAAATATTTTGTTGGTGAGAGTTATTTGCATATTGTTTAATAACAGACTATTTTCTGTTTTTGCATTATCATGGGAGCTTTTATATTTTATTTAAAATCTTTAATTCTACAAGATTGCCCTTGAGACAGAAGACTTGTATTTGAATAGTAGTTGAACAGCACACTCTGGTTTTGTTATCTTGAACAGGTCACAGTGAGTCCCAGCTTCTTCATAATTAATAATAACTATCTACTGCTACTAATTTAATGATATACAGATGGATTTGAAATTATTAAATATAATGGTTGCACTGATACTGTGACATAATTCTTTTTATATAAAAATAGTAATAGCAGTAATAATAACAAAGGGATTCATTAAGAAAATTCCTACACAGAGGCTTGACAAAATTAGAAAAAAAAAATCATTTTCTGTATGGACCATGCCCTGATAACTTATACTCCAATCACAACTTTGTTTTTGAAAAGGAAGGAAATAAATAAAAAGCCTGTTGCCATGTTGGCTTATGTTCTCTGCAAAACAGAAGGAAGTATGATAAAAAATAAAAAGAGTTTGCCAAATGGAAAAGGACAAATCTAGTAGGAAAGGCATGTTATTCTTGACTATGTGGAAGATTGTTGGCAGGTTCAAAAGAAAACAGGCATTGCCTTCCCTTGTGTGGAGTGACTTGGATGAGATAGTGACTTGGCCCACTTGCCACAGCGGTACCACCTTTAGATATAAGTTTAATGGAGCCCCAAAATTGTATAATCACTGGAGAAAATGTTGCATCTTTACTCTCGCTATGGTGAAAACTCATGTTGCCAAGTTCAGTTATAGCCACAATACTTGTGTTTTCATGTAAAAGTCTGTTTATGTTTCCATCCAGATTTTCAGGTTTGTGTCTACTGAGTGTGACTATAAGAATTATAAGATTTTCAGAGTTGAAAGGGACCTTAGGGATGATTTAATTTACATCTTTAATTTGGAAGGATCCGGTGTTGCTGGAGTTTTGCTTAGCCCACAAGTTTTTCATGTATGATATGTTGTTGATACATTGTAACCTTTTATTTTTATTTATTTACTTTTTGGCATTAAATATATAGTGACTATATTTGTTTTACGAATTTTATTTTTTATTGTGAAAAATGTGTCTTAGAAAATAAATCACTTACTTTTCCATCAGGACCACTTTGACCTCAGTGCCTGTAATTTTGGACGAACCACTTTGCAGTTATTTCATATATTCATTTATTCATCATTCATTGACTATAAATTTAATGTCTTCTATAAGTCAAGCACATGCACTAGGATTGTAGCTTTTAGAAACTGGCATCATAGAGCTACTGTCCAGTGTTTTTACATTGGAATTGTTAGCTTGGTTCTGATAAAATATCAAGTTGGCATATTTTTCCCTATTTCAGCCAACCTACCGGCTATCTGAAATGCACACTAATCATACCTACTACTTATATACCATCTTACCATTACCTAGGTATTATCAGAGGGGAAAATGTTTCAGAGAATTTCATGTATATAAGGAAAGGGTATGTGCCTTGAATTTCTTAATTCTTTTTAAAATTAAAATGTGTACCAGTGACTTATAGATGAAGCATGTTGAAGAATAAGGAGCTGGAACATATATAGTAGCTCAGAGTCAAGTTTGGGAGAGGCAGTTATATACACCTTTTAATTAAAGTGTTTTACTGTAAATTATGCCTGAGTCACCATGTCTTGATTGACCAGAAGCATAATTGAAGTCATATGTTGTGGTCAAGTATGGGAGAAATAAATAAATAAATTAATCGTGACTGGAGATCTAAAACTAGGATTCTTGGAAACAATTTTAATTGACCTGAACGTTAATAGCTGGATAGGGCCTTAATTTCAGATGGGGGGATGACTTTTTTTTTTTTTTTTCCCAGCAATAATGGAATACCAGCAATAATGGAATAAGAATGAGAATCCCAAAGTAGATATAACTGCATCTCTGACTATAAAATATGCATTCCGTTCTTAAACCATTGTACCAATGTACCAATGTACTACAAGTGTTTGTTATTTTAAATATAAGGGTGCTCTCCCCAGATTTGTTGTTGATATTCTTAATCATTCCACCAGGTAAAATATCTTGCACTTGTGAGAAACCCCATTTGTAAATAGCTCTGGATTGTTTGGTGGATTTGCCTAAGTCCTCTGGGACTTATCTGTTGACATATGATGCTTTGAACTTCCTCTTTTTGTGACATTCTTTGTTTGACTTTTCTTCATGACCTCCAGTTGATAACTCCTGCTTTTGCCTTCCTCATAGTGATCTCTCCTTGGCTTGTGCTTATGTACTTGTTATCTGGTGTTTTTTATACTTTTGGTCTTCATCTCTTCTTTTCCATTTATACCAGCAGGGTGTCTGTTTGGATTCCCTGTCCTGCCAAACAACTCCTGTCCTGTCACCTCAGAAAATGGACTTCTTTTATCCATTGAAGGTTATTCCAAAAGTTAAAACTGTGATCTGCCCCTTAATGAGTTCCTCACACTAATTTTCACCTACCCTCTTAGAAAATAACAGGCATTGAAAGGAACTATCAGGCCAGGAGTGAGAGAGGTGATGTTTGCCCCAAGGAGTTCATGAATGTAACTATTCACGTGGTGATTTTCTGAGCGAGGAAGAACAGTACATGAACTGTGCCCTGGATTTGAGAATGTGGTCAGAATTGGTTAAAAATGAAGGAAAGGAGAAAGCACAGAAATAATTTAAGGTCTCATCATGAACTTAGTCTCCAAAAGCTTTTGAAAATGTTTTCAAGCTTATTACCTATGTACCCATTTTGTGCATCTCATCTATTAGTTATAATTTAAAAAAATTAATATAGTTTTAGCAGAAGAGGCACTGGCCTCTGGAACATTCAATGTCGTTTTGTATAGTCACAGGTATGGAGCAATAGGATTTTACCTTTTGCCGTTGGGAACTAAGGTGCCCCCCCAAGCCCCCCCCAGTCCTGATTGCATTCAATCCTAATCTTCCAGAAATAAGCTGCAGGACTTGCTGTAGATGTATTTTGTACATTACTTTTTAAAATCAGTTAATTAATAC